CCCCAAAAACCGTGATCAGGCAAAAAGAAAAACACTGACACGTACTAATGGAAAAGGGGAGGAAGGGGTTAACTTTATTTTGCAGGGGGGTTATAGGAGTGGGGGGATTTTTAAACAGGGGGGGGGGCTGTGTGCTGGGGGGGAAAAGGTGTCGAGAGAGAAACTTTTTTCTTGATCCCCTCCTCAGCGGAAGGAAGTGACAACAGCACCTACGCACGTCCTCTGTCCTGTTGGCCGCCGATCGTCGGAAACATAAGGAGGGGGCTGTGACCGGGGGACTGACATCTGCGGCGGGGGTCCGCGGGACAAAAAGGGGCCCGCCTCGCGAGCCCCCCCTATTTTTTTTACAAAACACACTTAAAAAGTGGTTTTGCCTGTAGTGCCGCCCTGCCCCCCGAAATATGTACAGTGCTGGGCGGATGGGGTTTAAAAAGTTGGCTACGCCGTGAAGGGCGTAAAAACTGCGGTACTTAAAAATCTCCACGGTGAGCTTTAAAAATGTCTACATGTATAGCTGTTAAAGTTACGAGGAGGTCTTATGCGAGAATATAGCCCTTGCACCGACGTTCGTGGCGATATCTCACTATGTGGTTTGAACAACATTTACATATGGGGGTGTGCCTACATATGCGTTCACCACTACCCGTGAGCACATGGGGGACGGGGGCACTTGAAACATTTTTTAAAAAATTTATTTAAATTTTTTTTCTTTTTTTGCACTGTCTCTTTTTTTTAAAAAAGATTTTAATCGCTTTATTTTTATCGCAAAGAAATGGCATGCATTCTCCCCAGTGATAGAAATAATTAGTGACGGGTCCTCTTTATGAAGAGATAAGGGGTCAATGAGACATAATTAAATTAGTGACAGGTCCTCATTATGGAGAGATATGGGGTCAAATGATACATAATTATGTACAGTCCTCTTTAAGGAGAGATATGGGGTCAATGAAGACATACTAAAGTGACAGTTCCCTCTTTTAATGGAGATATATGGGATCCAATGAGACATAATTAGTGACCAGGTCTCTTATAATGGAGAGATACTGGGTCAGTAGAGATATGGGGTTAGTGAGACATAATTAGTGACAGGTCCTCTTTTTTGGAGAGATACGGTCAATAAGACATTAGTGACAGGTCCTCTTTATGAGAGATATGGGGTCAATGAGACATAATTAGTGACTGGTCCTCTTTATGGAGAGATATGGGGTTAGTGAGACATAATTAGTGACAGGTCCTCTTTTTGGAGAGATACAATAAGACATTAGTGACAGGTCCTCTTTATGGAGAGATATGGGGTTAGTGAGACATAATTAGTGACAGGTCCTCTTTATGGAGAGATATGGGGGGGTCAGTGGGACATAATTAGTGACAGGTCCTCTTTATGGAGCGATATGGGGGTCAGTGAGACATAATTAGTGACAGGTCCTCTTTATGGAGAGATATGGGGTCAGTGAGACATAATTAGTGACAGGTCCTCTTTATGGAGAGATACGGGGTCAGTGAGACATAATTAGTGACAGGTCCTCTTTATGGAGAGAATTGGGGGTCAATAAGACATAATTAGTGACAGGTCCTCTTTATGGAGAGATATGGGGGTCAGTGGGACATAATTAGTGACAGGTCCCTCTTTATGGAGAGATATGGGGGGTCAATGAGACATAATTAGTGACAGGTCCTCTTTATGGAGAGATATGGGGTCAGTGAGACATAATTAGTGACAGGTCCTCTTTATGGAGAGATATGGGGTCAGTGAGACATTATTAGTGACAGGTCCTCTTTATGGAGAGATATTGGGGGTCAATGAGACATAATTAGTGACAGGTCCTCTTTATGGAGAGATATGGGGGGTCAGTGGGACATAATTAGTGACAGGTCCTCTTTATGGAGAGATATGGGGTCAGTGAGACATAATTAGTGACAGGTCCTCTTTATGGAGAGATATGGGGTCAGTGAGACATAATTAGTGACGGGTCCTTTATGGAGAGATATGGGGGGTCAGTGGGACATAATTAGTGACAGGTCCTCTTTATGGAGAGATATGGGGGGTCAGTGAGACCTAATTAGTGACAGGTCCTCTTTATGGAGAGATATGGGGTCAGTGAGACATAATTAGTGACAGGTCCTCTTTATGGAGAGATATGGGGGGTCAGTGAGACATAATTAGTGACAGGTCCTCTTTATGGAGAGATATTGGGGGTCAATGAGACTCCACATCTCTCCTCTACAATGTAAAAGCATTGGATTAAAAAAAAGCATTGATCTAGTGCTTTAAAAAAAAAAAAATGCCGGAATGGGAAGTGACATCACTCCGGTCCTCCAAGGGCATAGAGATGAGTGGTGGCCATCTTTCCTTCACTCATCTCTATGCCCAGCGCCGGGATTGATGGTTTCTCAGGTAATGCTGAGAACTACTAGGCAGCGGTGAAGGCCGAGGGTTTTTTCGGCAACCTGTATAGGTGCTTTTTTTTCATATCGGCCGACGGCCGAAAGAAGTGTTTTCGACCACCAAAACCAAAATTTGCAGGATTTTTTTTTTTTTTTTTTTAATCCACACCTGAATCGCTTCGCATTGGTGTTCTTACCCATGTGCTGCGATTTCTGGCAATCGCATTATGTTTTGTGATCTGTTTCGGAGTGTCGTTAATTTATTATTGACAACCGCATCAGATCGCATGAACATGATGTGCGGGAAACGTACGGGATTTGCAGCGTTTCCCGCACCGCAATCGAACCGGGCTTGATTTGATTTAACCACTTCCTGTCCGGACACTTTCCCCCCCTTCCTGTCCAGGGCAATTTTCAGCTTTTAGCGCTATCACACTTTGAATGACAATTGCGCGGCCATGCAATACTGTACCCAAATTAATTTTTTACCATTTTTTTAGATAGATAAAGCTTTATTTTGGTGGTATTTATTCACCACTGGGATTTGTATTTTTTTTTGCTATGTAAATGAAATGTCCAAAAAAATTTTTAAAAAAGTGTTTTTTTTATAAAATTTTGCAAATAAATAATATTTCATCATAAATCTTAGCCAAAATTTATTCCGTTATCTTTTTAGTAAAAAAAAAAAAAAATCCAAATTAGTTTATAAGCAAAAATTATAATTTTTTTTTTTTTTTTTACATTTTTATTTTATTTTTTTATATTATTATTTTTTATTTTTATTTTTATTTTTTACATACTGTCACCCTAGCAGTACAGTGTGATAAAGATTTTTTTTTTTTTTTTTTTTTTTACACTGATTGCTTTTACACCCATACAGGATGTAAAAGCAATCATTTCTCTTTCTCTCTGTGTGCATTCCTGCACTCATTGAGAAATACAGAGTGAGCTGTGATTGGTCACAGCTTGTCACATGGTACAAGGCTGTTGTGAATAGCCTTGTACCATGTGACCTCTGTGATCATTCACAGATTTCACACATAGTAAGCAATGATGTCACAAGTGACATCTTGCTTACTACTTTGCATGTGATCACTGATTGGCCAATCAGTGATCACATGATCGGGACCTCGTACAGAGGTCCCGTCCGACGATCGGTGTTTCACTGTGTCCGGAGGACACAGCGGGCACCGGATCGCGGTGCTGCGCGCGCTCCCAGGGAGCGCGCATAAGCAGGGTGCGGGGAGGCCGTTTATAGACGGCCACCTGACCCTGCACTGCCACCGTCCGGCCGTTTATATGCAACGGCCGGTCGGGAAGTGGTTAAGTTTACAAAAGAAATACATTATGGATCCTCCTCCTGTCTGCACCTTAAGCTGCTGCTGCTGCCCAGGTAACATGCATGGGGTTGACTTTAATGCCCCCCACGGTGCACATAGATGTTGCTGGGTGACCGCTGTTTCTGCGCTGACAGCCCAGAGACCGACCTGACGAGCCCGGTAATGGCAGGATGCCCACCTGACCAGGGTTCCTAGGCGTTCCTTGAGCAATGAGAAATCTCTGAGACTCCGATACATTACTACTGATACCAATAATCTTTGTAGCCATCTGTACGGGGGTAACTCTTCCCAATGACACAAGTGTGAGGAGCAGGGGCGGACTGACAACTCATGGGGCCCCCGGGCAATAAGGGATCATGGGGCCCCTGTGTCCTTGCCCAAACTCAAAAAAGCCTATGAAAAAGGTACCAGGGGCATCTCATGGGGCCCCCTACTGACCCCGGGCCCTTGGGCAGTGCCCGAGTTTCCAAATGGTCAGTCCGCCCCTGGTGAGGAGCATTCTTCCCACCGACCATCACACTATTGTATCATGAGTTGTAGACATAGTCATTTTTTTGTAGGGGTTCCCTGAGACCAGAAAGTTCTTTCAGGGGTTCCTCTGTGTTGAGAAAGGCTAGTTTGAAGGACGTAAGTAAATTTTCGGATTGTTACATGCCAGTGCCACAAAAAGCGTGGTCTTCAATTGGATATACTTGCTTCCCCACTGCACCAATTCAGGCACCAGGAGTGAAAGGAAAGACCTCTGTAGGCTACGAGTCCTCAGAGTTTGGGCTATGGACTTCTGCGACATCGCTGATTGGCCCCAACCTGTTACCCAGAGCGATTTCCCCTCACTTCCTATTCTAATGACAACCTTTTACCAGACAGGAAAATGTAAGGATCTCCAACAGACCCTTGGATAGCCGTAACCCTACAGGGCTTCTAATCCTTTTTCGCCTTGTTCAAACAGTAACATGGCTTGATGTTCACAATTTTGGATATAGATTGTGTTCTGTGTTCTGTCTGACAATGGATCCGATCTGGGTCACATGATCCTCGCAGATTGCTCCACTTACCTCCTTGTCCTAAAACAGGAGCACTAAGCCATTGGTTCATAGTTTGAAATGTACATCGTTGACTTTTTTCCCTTTTAATCCGTGGAGTTTGACCTTGTTTTGGTTTTCTTACCAGATGCAACTCATCGAAAGCATCGGCAGAAAGCTCTCCGTATTACATGAAGCTCAACAAGGCCTTCAGGAGGACATCATCGCCAACGTGACCCTGGGCTGTGAGCTGGAGAACCTGCTCAAGAGTCTTTGTAAACCCAATGAGTATGACAAGTTCCGCTCGTTTATTGGAGACCTGGACAAGGTGGTCAACTTGCTGCTGTCCCTCTCTGGGCGCCTCACCAGGGTGGAGAGTGCACTAAATTGTGGTGACCCGGGGCCCTCCATGGAAGAGAAGGTATCATTGGAATGTAACCGTAACAGAATTTGCTTGTGTTTTCATGTTTCTGTACTTAATTCGGAGGAGGATGTGCTGGACTAAACCGCACTCACAAATATTGGTGGAATGTCCTTTAACCACTTCCCGACCGGCCGTTGCATACAAACGGCCGGACGGTGGCAGTGCAGGGTCAGGTGGCCGTTTATAAATGGCCTACCCGCACCCTGCTTGTGCGCGCTCCCTCGGAGCGCGCAGCACCGCGATCCGGTGCCCGCTGTGACACAGTGAAACACCGATCGTCGGACGGGACCTCTGTACGAGGTCCCGATCATGTGATCACTGATTGGCCAATCAGTGATCACATACAAAGTAGTAAGCAAGATGTCACTTGTGACATCATTGCTTACTACGTGTAAAATCTGTGAATGATCACAGAGGTCACATGGTACAAGGCTATTCACAACGGCCTTGTACCATGTGACAAGCTGTGACCAATCACAGCTCACTCAGTACTTCTCAATGCGTGCAAGAATGCAGACAGAGAAAGAGAAATGACTGCTTTTACATCCTATATGGGTGTAAAAGCAATCAGTGTAAAAAAAAAAAATCTTCATCACCCCCCACAAGTAGTACAGTGTCACCATGGTGACACTGTACTGCTAGGGTGACAGTATGTAAAAAAAAAAATAATAAATAAAAATAATATAAAAAATAAAATAAAAATGTAAAAAAAAATGTTTAAAAATGTATAATTTTTGGTTATAAACTAATTTGGATTTTTTTTTTTTACTAAAAAGATAACGGAATAAATTTTGGCAAAGATTTATGATGAAATATTATTTATTTGCAAAATTTTATTTAAAAAAAACACTTTTCTTCAAAATTTTTGTACTTTTTCATTTACATAGCAAAAAAAATAAAAATCCCAGCGGTGAATAAATACCACCAAAATAAAGCTTTATCTGTCTCAAAAAAATGGTAAAAAATTAATTTGGGTACAGTGTTGCATGACTGCGCAATTGTGATTCAAAGTGTGTTAGCGCTGAAAGCTGAAAATTGCCCTGGTCAGGAAGGGGGTAAAAGAGTCCGGTCTGGAAGTGGTTAAGGTCACAAGAGCTATGGAACCCTCTACTTACTGCTGCTGTTCCTACAAAAAAATTACACCCTTATCCTCTCTTTACCCCGTCTTCTCTCCTTCCCATCCCCACCCTCTATTCCCACCTACACCCCTTCACTATCCCCATCCTCCATTCCCACCTACACCCCTTCACTATCCCCATCCTCCATTCCCACCTACACCCCTTCACTATCCCCATCCTCCATTCCCACCTACACCCCTTCACTATCCCCATCCTCCATTCCCACCTACACCCCTTCACTATCCCCATCCTCCATTCCCACCTACACCCCTTCACTATCCCCATCCTCCATTCCCACCTACACCCCTTCACTATCCCCATCCTCCATTCCCACCTACACCCCTTCACTATCCCCATCCTCCATTCCCACCTACACCCCTTCACTATCCCCATCCTCTATTCCCACCTACACCCCTTCACTATCCCCATCCTCTATTCCCACCTACACCCCTTCACTATCCCCATCCTCTATTCCCACCTACACCCCTTCACTATCCCCATCCTCTATTCCCACCTACACCCCTTCACTATCCCCATCCTCTATTCCCACCTACACCCCTTCACTATCCCCATCCTCTATTCCCACCTACATTCCTTCACTATCCCCATCCTCTATTCCCACCTACATCCCTTCAGTATCTCCCAGCATAGTCTCCACGCACCTTGTCTTCCCACCAGTACCTCCAGATGCCAGATTAAACTCGGTAGAGGCCCCTAGGCAGTCAAAATGTTGGGGCCCTCCCTCACATGCGCACGCTCTAGTGGGATATCCTTGAACAAAGTAGTGTGCACTTCTAGATGAAGATGACCATCACCACTATACACGTATGTAGGGTGCACCAACATTTTTTTACACACTGACCGCTGAAAGATGAGCTTTTAACTGTAGAAAAACTGTAATGTGAACCTGATGTCTATGGTTTCCGTACGTTAAGTTATTATATTTGGTACATTACACTGAATACTGCGGAATAATGGAACGGCAGGGGCGGACTGACCATTTAGAAACTCGGGCACTGCCCGAGGGCCCAGGGTTAGTAGGGGGCCCCATGAGATGCCCCTGGTACCTTTTTCATAGGCTTTTTTGAGTTTGGGCAAGGACACAGGGGCCCCATGATCCCCTATTGCCCGGGGGCCCCACGAGTTATCAGTGTGCCCCTGTGTAACGGTTTCATTTCTCTAAGCTGGTTCATTCTTTTACACACAATTTAAGAAAGCTTCATTGTCATTTTCTTTGAGGACCAAATCAGTATTATTTTGATCTGTTGTCACAGGGCAGGGGGATCCATAGGATGATTTTTAGGTGACAGGTGCTCTTAATTTAGATATGCAGGGTCTAAAAGACCCCCAATGTCTCCCCTGGGCTCCATTCAGTGTATCGCAATGCAGATAGTGGCAGCCATGACCCGAAAGTGTCACCTTCCTGGTCACAGAAAGAAAGGGAGGGGCGAGCTCTTCTCTCTCCCTTCCACCCACCATGGTGCTCCCCGGGCCCGCAGATGGGCAAGTGGGGCCTGGATACATGATGGAAGTGCGTGGGGGGGAGCTACCAGGGGCTGTGGAAGCAATTAGGCGGCCATTGGAGGGCTGTACCCAAAAAGTAATGCAAAAGTGGACCTCACTTTATTAATTTGGGTCGTTCAGATTTCACATGTTGGTAAACTCTTCATTATTTACCTTCAATCAAAAAGTTCTTCTAGAGGGATTCCAAGCAGAAGCAACATGCTGTCGTGGAGTTCTGGATGAAGGAGGGGTAGAGGCTGTCCGACATCCGCAGACTGTTTACAGAGATGACACCATTGACAAGAGTCACCAATGGCAAGGCACATTGGCATCTCTCGTCAATGGTGTCGCCTCCATAAATATTCTGTAGCCTTCTGTGGATGTCAGACAGCCTGCACCCCTCCTTCATCAAGAACTCCATGATGGCACGTTGTTTCTGCTTGGAATGCATTATTTACCTGCAGTCCAAAAAGAATTGGAAGAGTTACTCTACCAACACGAAATTTGAATGATCTACATAAGTTAATGAAAAAAGTTATGTCCACTTTTGCTACCGCCAGTGGTGTCTTTTAGGTTTTTTGCTTCTGTAGGCAACACAAAAATCAGATGTCGCCCCCCCCTCTCCAGTGAAGATAGCCTGACACCGACCAACACCCCCTACTCCCCCATCCAAGAGAGCCTGACGCCGACCAACACCCTCTACTCCCCCACCCAAGAGAGCCTGACGCCGAACAACATTCTCTACTCCCCCACCCAAGAGAGCCTGACGCCGAACAACATTCTCTACTCCCCCACCCAAGAGAGCCTGACACCAAACAACCCCCCACCCAAAAGAGACTGATGCCGACCAACACCCCCCCCCCCCCCCCCCACCCAAGAGAGCCTGACGCCGACCAACCCCCAACCCCCCCCCCACCCTAGAGAGCCTGATGCCGACCAATGCCCCCACCCAAGAGAGCCTGACACGACCAGCCCCCCCACCCAAGAGAGCCTGACACCGACCAACACCCTCCACCCAAGAGAGCCTGACACCGACCAACACCCTCCACCCCCTCACCCAAGAGAACCTGACACCGACCAACACTCCCCTAACCCCACCCACCCAAGAGAGCCTGACACCGACCAACACTCCCCTAACCCCACCCGCCCTAGAGAGCCTGACACCGACCAACACTCCCCTAACCCCACCCGCCCAAGAGAGCCTGACACCGACCAACACCCCCCTAACCCCACCCGCCCAAGAGAGCCTGACACCGACCAACAGCCCCCTAACCCCACCCGCCCAAGAGAGCCTGACCAACACCCCCACCCAGGAGAGCCTGACACTGACCAACACCCCCTTCCCCCCCACCCAAGAGAGCCTTCCACCAACACCCTCCCCCTTCCCGGGAACAGGGAGCAAGACACTCGCCTTCACAGCTCCGGGAACGAGAGTAGGGCTCTGCATACACCATCAAGCAGCCCCCTTCAGATTCCACTTGGTCCCCATGCCACATATGTCCCTTCTTCCTGGAGGGGTTCTGCCCCCTAAAAAATGCCACCTTAGGCAAATATGCCCCTGGCTACATCCCATGTAGAAACACTACTAGGTAGCATCTTCCCTACCCCAAATTCTCCCCCTGTACATCATAGTTGGATCCCACTCTGAAAATCTGTTTCTGTGTAGTGTTTGTAATAATTTTGAAAAAAAGTTTGCTGGTTATCCATGGAGCATATGAAACAACCAATCTTTAAAAGAGATGGGGGAAAACAATAATTTCGGCTCCAATAGTCTTCTAGTAGAGATACTTGTATGGAAATAGAACCCTTATCTTCTTTTATCTTTCCTTTACTGGTTACATTCTCTTCTGTTTTATTCCTATTTTATGTCCTTTTATTGTCTGTGCTATGACACCGCATTTGAGGGCAGGTCCAACTGAATGTCAATATTTCTGAGCTCTAAACTGCCCATAGAACGTTCAGAATCCAACTTTGTTGGGTTTGTAATATGCTCCTGTCCCTGTAGTAATGTAGCAGCTGGAACCATAGCACACAACAGTGGACAAGCCACTGTATCATGTATGTATGTTTGGATGTATCAAATGCTGAAGATTCTTTGGCTGGTGTAGCACGAAGGTCAGAGGCTGGACCATGACAACAGAAAACGACTTCATCACCCAATTGAAGGGCTTTGGAAATTTTCTCCAATCTCCAAAGATTTGCAATGATATATACATTGTATTTCGTTATTTTGCACATAAAAGAGCAACCTCCACATCTTGGTACTGCCTGTCCTAAGCTACCTTTTTTTTTTTTTTTTTTCTTTTTCAGCTGAACCTACTGGAGAAGAAGAAGCAACTGACTGACCAACTGGAGGATGCTCAGGAACTGAAGGCCCACGTCACACGGCGGGAACAGGTGGTCCTCGAAGCCGTGTCCAAGTACCTAAACGAGGATCAGCTCCAGGATTACCAACACTACGTAAAGATGACCTCCGCTCTCATTGTGGAACAAAGAGAGCTGGAGGACAAAATCAGACTGGGAGAAGAACAATTAAGATGTCTCCGGGAAAGTCTCTAATCTCATTAACCAAAGAAAAATTGCAAAATGTGGTAAATTATAAAACTTATTTTATCTTCTGTTTTAATCAAAGAACTTGCCATTTTACCGCCATTACAACTACAGATGCATATCATTGGTAGGGTGGATTTTTGGAGATCAGAAGCCAAGATTTCTAGTTCTTCAAGATTTTCCTTCCAACTGGGATTGGGCTCACTTTATCCTACAATTTAACTTTTTACCAACACATCTCAAGTGACTGTAGGGTACACTGTGAGTTTTCTTATGCCAAAGATTTCTTTCACAACTGGAATTGTCTCATCAAAACCGGCATCTCCTAGGTGGACATCCCAACTGGAATTGTCTCATCAAAACCGGCATCTCCTAGGTGGACATCCCAACTGGAATTGTCTCATCAAAACCGGCATCTCCTATGTGGACATCACAACTGGAATTCTCATCAAATCTGGCATCTCCTATGTGGACATCACAACTAGAATTCTCATCAAATCTGGCATCTCCTATGTGGACATCACAACTGGAATTGTCTCATCACAAAACTCATCATCTTCTAGGTGGACATACCAACTGGAATTGTCTCATCAAAACCGGCATCTCCTAGGTGGACATCACAACTGGAATTGTCTCATCAAAACCGGCATCTCCTATGTGGACATCACAACTGGAATTCTCATCAAATCTGGCATCTCCTATGTGGACATCACAACTAGAATTCTCATCAAATCTGGCATCTTCTAGGTGGACATCACAACTGGAATTGTCTCATCAAAACCGGCATCTCCTAGGTGGACATCACAACTGGAATTGTCTCATCAAAACCGGCATCTCCTAGGTGGACATCACAACTGGAATTGTCTCATCAAAACCGGCATCTCCTATGTGGACATAGTCTGAGAAGTTATGTTTCTGTTCCGATAATTACACATTATGGATGGACTGGCATTATCTGTTTTTTTTTTTTTTTTTAATTTCTTGGACTGGAATTTCCTAGATGTTTCTTCTAATGCTATGGAAACCGCTGTTGCAATATCAGGATCTCTTTTAGAGTGTTATGTTCATCAGCAATGTTTTGGTTGCAGCAACGCCTATATTTCCTGCGCAGAATATGGGCATTATTCAGGATATAGCCACCAAGAACCTCTCTTATCGGGATTTGGGGGACAATATAATTGAAAAAGACTCTAAAGTGAAATAAGACCTTTCCTTGCCCACTCTGCTCTCCTTAAGACCTTTCCTTGCCCACAATGCTCTCCTAACAACCAATTAAAGTAACTGAAGGCATTAAATCTTTACCTTGGCTGTTTAAACTACCAGTCCAGGACAGTTGCTGGTTACGTGAGCAGATGGTTTGGAACATTTGTCATGTGATCTCTGTTGGATAGAGGAGCCTAATTCAGACTTCTGATGGCAGCGATCACATGATAAACTTCAAAGTATGCAGTCATGTGATATCAGATAATAGCCAAGCTCAACTGCAAGTTCAGCTTCTGATGGCTGAGGACCGGTGCTCTGGCTATAGTGCTCCTGCACTCAAACTGTCAGATCGGCAGTAAATTCAAGCCGGCAACTTGTTGTAGTCTATAAAATGTGAATCTCTATTGGCGTCATACTGAAATACACTGGTAACAAGTTAACGCATTTCGGCTATCACAGCCGAAACGCATTACTTGGTTACCAGTATGTAGACAAAGATTCAGATTTTACAGACTACACCAAGTTTCCGGCTTGAATTTACTACGGCTATGAAGTCATGTGGCCAGCTGCTGTTGGATCCTAAGGGGCAATATTTTCTTCAGCAAAAGTGATTGACGTCTGCTACCTTTGTTGATTTTAAAAGAGCAGAGCATGCAACTCAAAAGGAAAGAGTCGCTCAAAGTGCAACTAAACCCTTGTTTAAAAATTAATGTTTAGGTGTAGATTGATGGAGTAATGCTCACCATGTATTTTTTGGTGGGGAGTTGCAAAAAACAAAGAAGAAGAAAAAGATTGTTTTCTATTGCCCGTGTATCTCCAAGGAGGCACCCCCAAACACCCAGAATAGGGCTAGGGTAGTCATGTAGTAGCACGTTGGTCACGTTCAATGCCTCCCTAAGACTACATTTCCCACAAGGCCTTGCACTCACATTATGCAATCCATCTATGTGCCTTATGGAGGTCAGTCTCTATGCTGGCCTTTTGCTGATGGAGAGTATAGGTGCCAGGGCTTACACCATTGGCACGTACTATTGTAGTCCAGGACTAAAGGATGATAATGCTGTCCCTTCAGGAAGACCCTACAAGGGGCATGACTGTCACCCTTTATCAGTGCCATACTGAAAACTTTATTCGTTTTAACAGAAGGGAAACCTTTTTGAAAAAAAAAACGTGAAATGCTCATAACTTTATTAACTTACATAGGTTGTTCAAATTTAACATGGTGGTAGAGTACCTTTTCTTCTTCATTGGAAGTAAATAATGGATTCCATGCACAAGCAACATGCTGTCATTGAGTTCTTGATGAAGGAGGGGTGTACGCTGTCCAACTTCTACAGAAGGCTCCAGAATGTTCATGGAGATGACACCATTGACAAGAGTCAGCGATGCCAAGACTTTGCTCTTGCCAATGGTGTTATCTCCCAAAACGTTCTGCAGGCTTCTGCGGATGTCAGACAGCTTCCCCCCCCCCCCCTCAAGAACTCAATGACAGCATGTTGCTTCTGCTTGGAATTCATTCTTTACTTCCAATTTCACAGGTTGGTAGAGCATTATTTACTTCCAATGAAGAAGAAAATTTACTCTACCATCATGTAAATAATGAAGCAACATGCTGTCATTGAGTTCTTGAGGAAGGAGGGGTAGAGGCTGTCCGACATCCACAGAAGCCTGCAGAATGTTTTGGGAGATGATACCATTGACAAGAGCAAAGTCTTGGCATTGTTGACTCTCTTCAATGGTGTCATCTCCATAAACATTCTGGAGCCTTCTGTAGAACTTGAACAGCGTTCACCCCTCCTTTATCAAGAGCTCAATGACAGCATGTTGCTTCTGCTTGGAATCCATTCTTCAAAATTTCATATGGTGGTAGAGTAACTCTTCTTTTTCATTAACACAACATATGTAAGTTAAGAGAGCAACTTTTCCTTTTTTTTTTTTTTTTTTTAAAGTAAATAATGGATTCCAAGCAGAAGCAACATGTTGTCACTGAGTTCTTGATGAAGGAAGGGGTGAAGGCTGTCTGACATCCACAGAAGCCTACAGAATGTTTATGGAGGTGACACCAATCACAAGAACATTTTTTGCTGCACCCAATAGGTACAGCCAAACTGACAGATTTTTAAAAGAAATGAAAAAAAAAAATAAAAATTTTCTTTTATACATTTTTTAGGATGTGGCATTAGGAGGTTTTCTGGTATTCTGGATACATGATGGAAGTGCGTGGGGGGGGGGAGCTACCAGGGGCTGTGGAAGCAATTAGGCGGCCATTGGAGGGCTGTACCCAAAAAGTAATGCAAAAGTGGACCTCACTTTATTAACTTGGGTCGTTCAGATTTTACATGTTGGTAAACTCTTCATTATTTACCTTCAATCAAAAAGTTCTTCTAGAGGGATTCCAAGCAGAAGCAACATGCTGTTGTGGAGTTCAGGATGAAGGAGGGGTAGAGGCTGTCTGACATCCGCAGACTGTTTTTGGAGATGACACCATTGACAAGAGTCACCAATGGCAAGGCACATTGGCATCTCTTGTCAATGGTGTCATCTCCAAAAACAGTCCGTATCCCTCTCTAAATGTCGGATAGCCTGTACCTTCATCCAGAACTCTCGGTGAGAACATGTTGCTTCTGCTTGGAATCCATTAGTTACTTCAAATGAAAAAGAAGAAAAGTTGCTCTGTTAACTTACATAGGTTGCGCCAATGAAAAAGAAGAAGAGTTACTCTACCAACATGTGAAACTGGAAGTAAAGAATGGATTCCAAGCAGAAACAACATGCTGTCATTGAGTTCTTGATGAAGGAGGGGGTGTAGGCTGTCCGACATCCACAGAAGCCTGCAGAATGTTTTGGGAGATGACACCACTGACAAGAGCAAAGTCTTGTCATCTCTGACTCTTGTGAATGGTGTCGTTTCCATAAACCTGTGGATGTCGGAGAGCCTGCACCCCCTCCTTCATCAAGAACTCAATGACAGCATGTTGTTTCTGCTTGGAATCCATTACCTGCAATCAAAAAAAGATGACTTCCTATAGGGGAAAAAAGTTATTCTACCACCATATAAAATTTGAACGACTATGTTAATTAAATAAAAGGCTGTACCAAAAGTGGGCACAACTTTTTTTTATCAATTGAAAGAATAAGGTAATACCCCAAGATATTTTTTACAACTTGGGTTTTGTTGTACTTTGCCTTCCTCCCCAGGGACCTTTTTTTTGCCCCTTTGAAAGTTGGTTTGGCCAGTAGGACCAGGAAGAAGTCTTTTGGGTAGCGTTGAGCCTCTGACTCCATCCAAGTGGACCATGTGGCAGCACTAGGTGCTCCATGTTTGACCTAGCGCTGTCCTATGGGGGTGGCGCGTAGCCCGTAGTGCAGCATAAACTCCAGCAAGTTGGCTTGGCATTTACACAGATTTTCTTTCCCAGATCCTAGTGGCCAAATTGAGGAGCAAAGGTGCAAGTGAAGGTACAGATGCTGGTGGGCAGTTAAGCGACTAATTCTAGTTCTTGTATGCAAAAGTTTCATTTTAAGTCTAACACTACACTACTAAAAAAAACCACCGTAACAGGCAATACGCTGCATACATTACCTCCTAATCAGGTGGACTTAAAAGTGCCTTACTGATCTCCCAGCTCTTTGCACACCTTTTTAGTTTCGGATGGCAGTACACACAATTTGCTCAGCAGCAACATCACATTAAGGACCATTATTTTATCCATTCCAAAAAAAAAAAACCTGAACCAATTGTTGTCTGCCTGTCAGTATTAAAATGCTTGAAACGTCATGAAGGCCAGTTCTGGACTTGACATCAA